GGGGCCCATGCTTCCCAGGCCTGTTCTGAAACAAGAAGGTCATCATGTTCTTCTGAAGGGGCCCATGCTTCTCAAGCTGTTCTGAAACAAGAAGCCCACCATGCTCTTCTGAAGCGCCCATAGGACTGTTCGGCGGCTTTTCGCTAGCACTGTGGCTGCTTTTGTCTACTGTAGCAACTAGCGCGGCGCCCGAACATGTGGCATGTGGGTGGGTTACGGCCTTGCGCGGCGCCGGCACGAATTGCTGATTCGCCACAAAACCAGCCGGTTCAAACGGCTCGCAGTGGCACAATTGCACGGCCGCTGTTTCTTCGTTTTCCTGTTCACCCGGGCAATCGGTCCGTTTTTTTTTGGTCTACTAGCGTCGCGGCAGCCAACCCCTGCAAGCTTGCCACACTGCCAGCCTGCGGCGTGCGCGTGTTGGATTAGCTCTGCATGCTTCGCGAGGTCGTATGTCGTATCACATGTTCGGCTCGAATATGTACGCGCTAGCTACTAGCACTACACATGGCAGCTCTGCGTGCATGTGCCCCGTGACCATAAAAAAAACTGGTCTGTTGGACTTGCTGGATGGACCATGCCGCGCGCCAGCTTTCCAAACTAAGCTCGATCCGTCACGTCGAGCACAAGAGTCGCCACGCCGGTAGCAGGCCGGCCGGCGACATGCACGGGTGTGAGAGCCGGCGGCAACAAACCTACGTATATATGTAGCAGCCCTGACCCCTGATACCACCAAAGCGGCTTCGCCCGCCGGCGCTTTCCCCTGTTTGCAACTTTCCCTTTGTCAAACCAAACAGTTGCCCTCGTGCCCCGGAACGGCGCCGGCGCGGCCCAAAAAGCTAGCGGCACGCACAGCCGGGGGGGGGGGCGCCGGGGGCGGCTTGCGCCAACTTTAACGGCCACATTGCTTCATTGTTAGTGCCGGCCGGCAGCGCGCGTCTGCGGATCGGAAACGGATGCCGCGCTCGCAGGCCCTATCTGTACTCTCGGCCTCGGCAGTTGGCACAGCTACGATTATTTCATGCTGTGTATGTACAATACAGCAAGCAAATTAAACATGGTCGGGCGCCCAGGCTCGGAAGGTCTCAGCACTCAGCAGGATGTATCCAGCCCGTGTATGCCGTGGGGCGCCTGCTGTTGGTGCAGACACCAGAGGGGCGCAAAGAGACGATGGCAATGCAAGAAACACACAGAGCTTCAAAAGAGCAAGAGGTAGCGGTGATCGATGCTAATAATACCGACTGCTACCCAACTGGAGGCTTCACTGCATCTGCATGCTCTTGCAAAGTTGCAAGTACAGGGATGGAGGTGGGCGCGTTTGAATTCCAACATCGTCTAGTAGCTCTTACAGCAGCACGCAAGCAAACAATAAGCAAGGGAGCAAAGAGCCGAATAAAGACCGGCGGTCTTTGGGCAGCAGGAGGATTCCAGACGGTGGCTGCCCTGGCCTGGCCTCCCTTTACTCGACAGGGGGCGAAGTTCAGCCTGTTCGGGAGGCCGTAAACGATCGTGGATTATTTACTGCTGGCTGGTTTGGTGTGAGAGAAAAATACTGTTTCTGGCTGAAAATTTACGATCGTTTACGAGCAAGCGAACAGGCTAAGACAGAGAATAAAAGAAGAGGAGAAAAATACACAGTAAAGAGCAGGGATAAAGATACACGACTGATAGCCTGCCCTGGTACGTGCTAGCTAGCTAGACTGACAGAGCATCTCCAAGAGACTCTCTATATCCGTCCTAATTGTTTGGAATAGAGATTTTGGTGAAAAACTAACCTCCTACAGCTTTTCTAAATGGTCATCCAAATATAGCCATCTTCTATTGCAGATTTTTCGCTAACAAAAACAGAAGACGAGAATGACTCTCTGGAGTGCGCATGAGATATAGAAAAACTTTTGGAGACTGAAAAGATATAAAAAACGATTTTTATGCAAATGGCTTTCCAAATGATGATTTAAGAGTGAGATTTAGAAAGGCTCCTGAAGATGCTCAAGCATCAGCAACAGGCAGCTGTGTAGCAGCTAAAACAGTGGGGAAAGAAAAGACAAGGATGGGGGCCCAGAAAAGGAGCCCATCTCTTCGTCTAATCTACCATATAACCAACGCAAAAACATAGATTTATATTAGCTAGAGAACGAAGGATACACCTAGCCATCAAGTGATCAGCTCGATCGATCGACTAGCAGGTTTACACAGCCGAGATATACGTACGTACGTGATTGGAACGTTTAACCAAGCTAATTTAAGAGGTCACTAAGCACTAGATATATAGCTTCATAGTTCATAGAGCCACTTGTTAAAAGGAGATTGTCGATCGGAAGCTAGGTAACAGTAGCAACTTGCTACTCTAAGCTTGAGTAGGAGTAATTATATTAGTATGGAGCAACCCCCATGTTGGCTGCCGCCGCGTAGAGCCCTTCCTTTAGAAGCCCGTCCTTTCTGATCTGGTGATCCTGGTAAAGCCAAAAGCATCGAAATTTGGTTTAGTTTAAATCATTTTAACCATGATTTGTTGGGAGCATGATAATGCTTAAATGTACTTAGTAGTATACATTTTGCATGTTATCATGCCTTTTTTGTTTGAGCTAACTGCTCCTATAGTCTTAATTATATATAAGAGAGTCATACAAGAATATATCTGCAATCTGGCATGTGCTATATATATTTATTGTGGTTATGCATGAAAAGTGTTTTTTTTCAGGCATGTAACAATTTCGATGTACTGGAACAAGATCAGAATTCCAAAGATTTCCAATGCTAATCTAATAGGCAGATCGAGATTTGACCAACAATACTTGACAGAATCAAAAGACAAGTAACAAGTAGAAAATTTTGAGTATACATTATACATTTGTATAATATATACCAAATAATAATGGAAGGATGGGGTTCCATTATTACAAGTCGCCCAATATGATCATCTTGTCTTTTGTTTGAGTAATCCAAGAGTTTTTTCTAGTGAGAGAATGCAAAAAAAAAAGAAATTTTGAACTACATTGTTATGTTAATATAATCATGTAGGTTGGCATTATGAAAACAACCTATATTTCTCTCTTTTCATTGCAAATATTTTCATAATATATATATGTTCATAACATATAGTATAAGAGAGTCATACAAGAATATAAATGCAATCTGGCATGTACTATATATGTTTATTGTGGTTATGCATGAAAAATGTGTTTTTCTTGCATGTCTCAATTTCGATGCACTGGAACAAAATCAGAATTCCAAAGATTTCCAATGCTATTCTAATAGGCAGAGATTTGATCAACACTTGACAGAACCAAAGGACATGTAACAAGTAAAAAAATTGAGTAATCCAAGAGATGTATTCATATGTACAATACCAATTATGTTAATATATAATCATGTAAATTAGCATAAAACAACATATATTTCTCTCTTTTTATTGTAAATACTTTCATAATATAATAAATTTACTAGTAGAAATTGTTGATGGAACATAAATTTCTATAAAATATCAGTCAATGTCACAACCAAGAGCAGTAAAACATTTTAGCAGAAAATCCATCTTATCTTCTATAAAAGTATTGGAGATTACCTCAACCTCACCCTTTGTTTTTTCAAGGAAAATCACGGACACATTAACAAATACATTTAATTTGTTTTTTTCACTTTTGAACCTTGCTATTGAACTAAAAGGGGTGACGATATTAGCTATAGTTATTTGACACATTTGACTTTATAACGGTATTTGGTGCATATGCATGACCACTAATATCTTTTAAAATCCTTCAAAAAAAATATTTTGCAAGTATTTCACATACAAATCTACCAATATATATATATATACTGCATGTCTCCAAACTACTCCTTCCGTAAATCATTCTTGCTTTTGTAGGTGCAAATCTTTGCTAGGTACCTAGATATACATCATGTCTAGATACATAGTAAAAACTATGTATGTAGAAAAGCCAGGACGACTTACAATTTCGAATGGAGAAAATAAAAGATATAAAAAGATATTTATGTTTGTAATTTTTTAGTTTTGACCAAATCTTGTCCCAAATGAAAAAAAATGTGACGGAGGAAATATAACAGTACATTGACAAGGTTTTGACGGATTCATCACCTGAGGTAGCAGGCTTGTCTTCTTGAGCCCCTGGTGATCCGGCATGAGTCCAAAGTGGATGTGTGGAAAGTGCGCCCACTGCAGCAACAACCAAAACCACCACGCCAAACATGGATTTAGAAAGTAGGGGAAAAATGCATGGAGCTTATCATGCGGTTTTGGAAGATCGGGAAACCCTAGCAACGAACAGTACAGGCACGAACAAAACCCTAGAGTGCGAGTGGATCACACCAGCAGAAATCATGCATAAGAAAGAACCGAAGGAGAAAGATCTAAGCGAGGCGATAGAGGAGGGGAAGAAACCACAGACGTTCTTGGCCGCCGCGCTGAAGGCCTCCCTGTGCGAGATGTCGGGATTGCCAGCCTTGATGCGTTGGATTTCGTCCCTGCAATCGCATTCCCCGTCCCCGAGGGAGAGCCAGCAGAAAAAGAAATTGAAAAGGGAGACGTCAGATCGATGCATATGATCAGTATTCCTATTCAGCAGCTAGCTCAGCAACACGACACTAGTATGATTTGCCATCACCGATGTATCATTTGCCATGTCTTATGTAACGAATACTGCTCGCTACTACTAGATCTTTCATCCCTTCCTCTCTCTTCTGCCATTCTGGGTTTGTTGTGTGTGTGTGTGTGTGTGAGAGAGAGAGAGAGAGAGAGAGAGAGAGAGAGAGAGAGAGTGGAGAGAACGACTGAACGAGAGCAAAAACTATCAGGGTCTCTCTCTCTTCCTTCTGCAAAAGTTCTTGCCTCTGTACCCCGGACCGGGCCCGGGCCGGCCGGCCGGCCGGCTGCTGCCAACGAGGCGGCATGCATTGCCGTGACCGATGAGAGAACCACACCGGCCTTATACACTGTAACGCACAGCATGAAAAATGTAGTAGCTAACATATTATACTGGCACTCACTTGATGAAGCGGTTGTACGCCGACGGCACGCGCTGCCTCTTCTCCGGAGCTGCAGAGACAGAGAGACACGATGCACACAAAAACCTGTTAGACACACAGTCATGCCGCGCGCATGAAACACGGCCAGCAGTGCTCACTGCTCGGCATGCAGCACACAGCATGTACGCAGGAACTCGGCGCATGGACTGAGGTGCACTCTGGTAGCACGCCGTAACAGCGTCCACTGCCCGGTTCTCACAGTGAAAAGAGCTCGAGAACGAAACAAAGATGTGCGCCGCTCGCTCGCTCTCGGACAGTTGATTGAAAGCGAGCCAGCCAGCCAGCGGTGTGGGCGACTGGGCGTTGCACTTATTGATGCGACATGTACAACACCTAGCTAGGCGCATGTGTCTCTAGCTCGCCCATCTGTACGTGTGCTCACTGATCTAGTCAGCCAGAGCGAGCATGGAGCTAGAAGATGAGTATTCTTGAGTTAAACTGAACTGCATGTTTCACCTAGCTTCCTCAAGGCCAGGCTCAGGCTGATCGTATGATCGATCTCAAGAACGAAACCGAGCAAAACTTGGACACTCCGAGATGGCGAAGAAGAAATAGCAAATTAATAGAACACTTGGCGACGTGCGTGGAATGGCTATTAGGTGGACTCACGTCTGTTGATGACGGGGTTAGTGCGCGGTGACGGCTCTTTGGCCCCTTTACCCGCTGCAAGCGGCGGGTGCGGGGGCGGCGCGGCAGCGTTCCTGCCGCTGGGGATCAGGCCGCCGAGGCCGTGCTGCTCCAGCAACTGCAGGCTCGGGTTCGCGGCGCTGGATATCTCGTCCTGCATGGGCGCGCGCGGACACAAGATTATTAGGCATGCAATATATGACATCTCGGAGCGAGCTAGCTCCGGCAAACTTTGAAGCACGCAACGACGTGTCTCCGGCCGGCCTGCCGGATCTCCACGCGCGTACCAGCAGGAGGGATTGGTTGTGAGGGTTGGGCGCGAGGTTGAGCGACTGGGGGAAGTGGAACTGCCCGTTGTTGACCGAGGTGGCCGGCGCCGGCGCCGTGGTGATGGTGGTGGTAGTACTGGTGACAGCAGCTGGTGGTGGGGCGGCCGCCGTGGCTGTGTTCGCCGGCGTTCCCGGGAAGAGAAGGCCCCTCATGTTGACGGTGAGCAAGCTGCTGCAGTGGCCGCATCGTACCGTCACCGTCTTGAACAAGCTGCTCGTAGGCACGCTCACCTGCACCAAGGCACACCTTGAAGCTTGTAAAATCTTTTTGAGATTTAAACAACATGGACAGCTGCATGTATGTATACATATAGAGAGAGATATCGAGAGCAGGGATTCGATCACGGACGACGAGGACGGTTTCGCAGAAGTGGCAGTGCACGTAGCAGAGCTGCTCGGAGGCCGGTGCGGCCGCGGCTACCGGCGTGAGCTGGTGCAGCGGCGGGAGGTTCTCCACCAGGAGAGGAGGCGGCAGCTGCGGGGACGGCGGGAACACCGTGGCCGCGGAGGCAGCGGAGGACGACGAGGACGAGGACGACATGCTGACCGTAGCGACAGCGAACCACCGGTCGATCAATGGATCGCTGCTTTCTTCAGGTACGTGCGTGGTGCAAGCAACAGCAGAGCACGCGAAGCAACACTGCAACAGGGCTGGCTGCTGGCTTCTTGCCCCGATTTGACGCGGCAACGAACCAACCGAGCTGAGAGGTGCTGGTGTACGTGAGTGGAAAGGCGGCACGCGATTGCTGCCGGGCTACCTGATTGATGGATGGATGGATAGTTTAGTAGTATATCTCTCTCATCTTCCTCATCACCACCCTCTCTTTCTCTCTCTCCTCTTTGCCTGTGTGATCTGATGGGTGTGTGATTTGATGGTTTGGAGTGACTGATGTGTGATGCAATGGAACCTAGTATGTATTGGATCTGTTGTTGCTGCCGCTGCGATTTGGCAACTAGAGGGAGAGAGAAAAGAAGAGGGGGGAGAAGACGAGAGGCGAGAGTGCCTTGGTTGGTGAGGAGAGAGGGGGGAGAGAGATATAGGCAGAGCGGCGCAGCGCAGCGTGCGAGGGCGGGGGTGTTTTAGGGAGTTCTCTGGTCAACAATGAGGGAGGGACAGTGGCAGTGGCAGCAGCAGCAGCTAGTGTGCCTAGGTAGTAGGGAGCTAGACGACGGGGGTTGTGGGGCGTTTTTCTCTCGCTTCTGCCATGCCATGCCTGCCATGAGAAGTCGAGTGTCGAGCACCAGGCTCTAGAGGAAGATGGCAACGACAAAGAGGAGTTATTTTCATGTGCTAGTATACCGCCATATGTCTCATGTACATGCACGTGTACTGCTGTTTTCTGGTTTACTGTGACTGAGATTGTATTAGAATGTACGGCTGGGGCACTGCCTTAATTTTTAGGAGAACAGAATGAGGATTTTTACGGATGGTAGAAGAGCTCTCCGGCTGGTTTACCGATCAAGTAATTTTGCATAGGTTGGTTGGGTAAAATTAAACCAGTTAATGAAAGGCTTGGCACTCACATCAATACAGGTATACATAAGAGCAACTCCAAGGGCATCTTTAGGTTCGGTTTGGCACAGCTCCCACAACCGCATCGCGCTAAACAGTTTTTTACTAAGAAGTGATTTTATGATGATTCTATGAAGTGATTCTATGCAATGAACTAGGGGTCCGAGGGTTGAAAAAGTAGTTTCATTCACATGATTCACTCCACGCACAGAGTCATTGTATGCATAAACTTTAGCCTAAAGAATCATAGAGAAATATTTTCAATCTAACAACCACATTTCTCAAAGAACCAGCTTCCATAGAGAATCTAGAGTAGGAGGAGCTCTACCAAACATGACCTTATATCCTTTGTTCTTATTGATAGGAATATAGATTTTATGAAAAAATGCTCTCAGACAACTTCTTTAATTAATATCCAAATATTGACATCCTCTGTTCCAAATTTCTCACAAACAAAAAAAATGGAGAGCGGGGTTAGCTCTCTAAAGTATGCACAAGATGTAGATAATATGTTGGAGGATGGAAAGAAATAGAGAGTGATTCTATTCAAATGACTCTCCAGATGATAATCTACCGAGTGAGTTTAAGAAAGACTATTGGAGATGCTCTAATGACTCGCCTAGCTGAAAATCATACAGGGATGCTTGTGGAAAAGTCTAACTCATCTAAATCTATATGTATATCCATATTGACGTTTTAAATCCCTAGCTATAGTTGCAACTGTAGCCAGAAATAGCTGGACAGGGTTAAAGCTAAGATATTCAACTTTTAGCGATAAGAAATAGCAGCAGCTAATAGCCGAAGAAATCTGGAGATAATCGCTAAATGGGCCACATTTTAGTGATAGCTAAATTTGTCGGACCAAGGAAATGGGCCACCGGCCCTGCTAATACCTCCCAACCCACCCCCACCGTAACCCTAGCCTCTCACTCCACTCTCCCACTCATCTCTCTCCCTTGATTGTTTCTGAAAAAGAGCCAATGGTGGCTATTGTTTCTGCTTTTGGTCTCTCGGAGCCTCGGATGGGCCAGAGGCAGTAGCGCAGCCCAGCTGGAGTCCCCAAGCGGTGGCTGCAGCAACAACAATGCGATCACGGAGCTCCAAGCAGTGGCAGTGGTGGCGGTGTGCGGCACTAGTGGCGGCGGAGGTAGCATGACCTTATGCACTTGTGCCAATGTTTTGTATTTTTTTATAAAAAATGTGCAAAAATAGCTAAATGTCTTAGCTGCAGCTATCTCTGGCTATAGCTGCACTTGGCTATTGAGGAGGACAACAACTAAATGTCTTAGTTGGAGATTTAAAACCTTGATCTATATATACCTACTATTAAAAAGAGATGTGATTCTTCTGTTCGTGTTTTTACTTCCCATAATGGTCTTATGTCCCTCTCTATCTAGTATGTGAAAGGACTGAGTCGATGCCTAGAAAGGGTGAATAGTCTATAATTAATATTCCCTGCATAAACATAACTAAAACATAGCAAGGTGCACATATCATGCCAAATAAAATTGGCCTTGACCGGTTTCCAAACGAGCCTAGGCCAATTTCTGCAGGTTGTTCAAGTAGCCAAAAATGACCTAGGCTAATTTTTCCTAAGCTTGCACACAAATATGTATTTTTGCACTCCCTCCTCCAATTCAATCCAAGGTGTTGTCGGACTTATTCTCAGGGTGATTTGCAACTTCTCCAAAGTGTCACTGCACCCACAAACACACACAATAAATGAGTAAACACAAGCGAAAGCACATATCTACAATTAAATGCAAATGTAAGGCAAATCAAAGATAGAAGATGTAGCGATGTATCCCTAGAGTTTAGGTCCCCACTTGGACCCTACGTCTCCATTGTGGAAGCCATGAACGGCCACCCACGATCAAGCTAGCCAAGTCTCTTTCAACCACTTTCCCATGATCCACATGTTGATCTTTTCCGTTCTGGGGCAAGATCGCAGTTCACACAAACTATCTCGTCCACTCCACAAGTTAGGTGCTCGCGGTCAACGCTTAGCCATCTAGGAGCCAAGCTCCAGGAGTAACAAATGCTTCACCATGAACTTGACGTTCCCATGAAGTGCTAAAGGCTTTGTTCATCTCTCGAATGCTCACAAGCCCACAAAAGGCTATAATCTTCCTCTCCAAGGCAACATAAGTGTTTTGGATGGAAAGTAAAGTCTTGAACAAATGTTCCAAGAAATATAAAGTCATATCTCAAGACAATGATAGTGTTGCAAGCCCTCAAGTGATGTAAATTGAGAAGACGATAATATTTGAATAATGAGAGGCTCAAGTGTGGTTTATTTTCATATATTTGAAACTTGAGTATAGGTATGTTAAACTATCAAGATGGATGCAACACTAAGTGCTAGATTTGACATAGAAGTGCTCAGAGCACCCAAAGTGAGAAACCCAAGTGAATAACATAAAAAGTGGGTTTATTTTAAAATAGGCTAGAAAACCAAACCTAGGCCAGTTTCCAAATCCGACTAGGTAGGGAAAACCGACCTAGGCCCATTTTGTCTGAAAAATCTCCAATGGCTAATTTTATGGGAGGGCTATTTATACCCATTCCCACAACCCTTAAAGGGTTGCTGATGCTTTGTAGTGTTGCCTTAAGTTTAGAAAAGCCTAGAAAGAGCTCCTAATTCACCCTTTTGTGTGATTTGAGTGAAAATTTGTGATATCCATTGAATTGGAGAGGAAAATTAGAGTCTTTTTGTGAGATTATGTGAGCATAAGAGTGCTGATCAAAGCCTTGAGCACTTCCTAGAACCATCAAGTTCATGGTGAAGCATGTGTTACCCTTGGAGAGCCCAATTTATACAGTGGCATGGGACAATTTGTGCAGACTATGATCTTGCCCACTGAAGGAAAAAGGCCAACTAGTGCAGCGTGAAAAGTGGGTGAAACAAACCAGCTTGACTGTGGGTGGTCGCTCATGGCTTCCATAATGGAGATGTTAGATCCAAGTGGGGATCTAAACATTGGTAAATACATTATTGTGTCTCTTGTCTTCGATTTGCCTCAATTTCATATTTCAATTGAATAATTGAGCTTCAATTTGTGTATACTCGAGTGTGTGTGTGTTTGTGGGTGCACTGACACTTTGAATAAATTGCAAAACACCACAAGAAGTCACACAATGCCTTGGGTTAGATTGAAGGAAGAAGGGGGTGCAAAAGTTGACATTTGTGTGCACAGGTTCAGTGAAAACCGGATTGGTTTTGGTTGTGTGCGCTGAAGAAAGCCACCTAGACCGGTTTTGATAGCCTCTACCACACTCTATTGTTTTTCTTTGTATTTTTGCATGGAGAAATTTGTGCCTATTCACCCCCTCTAGGCATCAACCCAGTCCTTTCAGGTACCCTATATAATGTTGGCAAGCAAGTTCTTCATATATTTGGTGAAAGAATAAAGATGCGAGGAGGGTGAATTGGGCTAATTTGAAATTCTCACGGAATTTAAACCTACCGCTTAGCCAAATTCATCCATATGCCTAATAAGTGTTTTATATATCTACCGCACAAAATGTTTGCATCCTAAGTTCCAACCCTACACTAACATGTCAATTCTAGGACCGTAAATTGCAAGAGAGTAAATGCTTAATGCAAAGGGAATGGACAAGGCAATGTTTTCCGAGGTATCCGAGAGTTGGCACTCTCCACTAGTTCTCATTGGAGCACCTGCACAAGGGTATCCCCCCACCCCCTTTGATCCACACAAGGACCAAGTTCTCTCTAGTTGTTGATCCTTCTCCACTCCAAAATGATGGATCACCAATGACGTGTACAATCACCAACTTGACCAAGGCTGAGAGAGAGACAAAAAATGTAATCATTTGCTCTTGCTATTTGTTCCATTAGATTCTCCTTCCTCAAATCCCTAACCTTCTGTGCCATCCCAGTCGCCAAGTAATATGGCATGACTCCATGTGATTAGGCTAATTTAAAATTGTCATGGAATTTAAACCTATCGCTTAGCCAAATTCACCCATGTGCATAACAAGTGTTTTCAATATCTACCACACAAAAA